GCATTTGATTTCTTCCACCTCTGCTCCCTGGATTTGCCTTGGGTGAGCTGGAGGTCTGGGGTTTCTGCTTGCTTCTGTGTTTTCTCATTTTCTATTTTAAAAAATGTTTTCTGTGCTGATGCGTGTAAATCACTTATTGTACATAGCTACGTAGCTTTATAACTAGTATCAAGACCTCCAGGAAATGACTAGTTTTCAGAGATGTCTTCTAGGGACTGCTGGCTTTTGGCCTTAAGAGTATGTCCCATGATTCTGCTGCTTTTATTAGGCTTTTTTTTTTTTTTTTTTTCCTATTTTTTTTTTTTTTTTGGTACCAGGGATTGAATTTGGGTCATTGCACTTGTAAGGCAGGCGGCAGAATCACTCAGCTAATTCCCTAGCCCTCTTTTGTTTATTAGGAATGAGAGGTTGCAGCCTATTTGGCCTAACACCCAGTTCTTTGGTACCTGACTACAGTATGGCTTATGTACCCTTGACAATCAACTTTTGTAGAGCATTGCTCCATTGTGCTGGTGCATTTCTTCCTGGAGACCTCCGGAGTCATCCACTTTCACTGTGTCTCTGTAATTTCAATCTTGCTTTCTCATGCCATAAGCCAGAACTGGGGAGAAAGTGCAGGGTTGTCCCTTCCTTTTTCTACATTGTCGTCTGTCTCTTCAACTTCTCTGTAGGCCCCAATTTTCCCTTCACATCCTTCCTGAGTCCCAGGGATCTATCTCTCCCTTTTTTCCTTCCCCAAGTTATTTTCTAGTGTCTATATCCTGAATCTTGGAGAGGCTGATTTGTTGCAATTTACCATTCCATGATCTTCTGGGAAGTACCATCTTCCATTTTCAAAGAACTACTAAGCTTTGTCTTACAGAGGTTATCTGTATAAGGTTTCTGGGTTTATTTTGTTGTTGCTGTTGTTTGGTATGGGGGATCAAACTCAGGATCTCGTGCTGGCCAGGCAGGTACTGTGCTGAGCTACATCCCCTGAGCTAAACCTTCTATATTTTTGTTGAGAATGTAAATTTGTACAACCACTATGAAAATCAGTATGCCTCAGAAAACTTAAAACTATGAATTCCATTCTCTTATCCTTCTGGAAAGAGGTAGGATAACATTATGGTTATTCACACATACACATGTGTATAGCAGCTAAATTAATATTAGGTAAATATAGGAAGTAGCCTACGTGTCCATCCACACATGAATGGGTAAAAGAAATGTGGTATTTATATACAATGGAGTACTATTCTACCATAAAGGATAAACCTGAAGCATTTATAGGTAAATTAATACACCTTGAGACCATTAATATTAAGTGAAACAAATCAGATACACAAGCTTAAATATTGCATGGTTTCTCTTACATGAAAAAGCCAAAATAGAAATAAAGAAAATAAAAAACAGGAAGTAGGGAGATAAATCTTTTGCAAAATGGTGGGGGACCAAGAGATGAAGAGAGGAGGGGAAGGAAAGGGATAAGAAAAAGAATTAAGATGTGTTATGTACACTGACAATTCCCCTTGATGAATGTAATATTATGAACTGCAAACGTGTACTAATTAAGAAATAAAAAATGAAAAAAAAGATGGAACCATTTCCACAACTGCAGTATAATCCAAGGCTCATTCTAGCCCAACTAAATCAAGATCTCCAGAATTGATTGTTTTGTTCCTTAAAATTGCTCCACTGAAGGTCTGATGCACAGCTGAAGTTAAGAAACCTAAGCATATACTCCAGTTCACCTGTCTTATTGTCAAATATTATCTTGGACTTTATAACCTTGTTTGTTAACTATTTACAAAAAAAACTCAAGTGCCTTCTCTTTTGATAGCTATGCTTGAGCCATTTACTTTGCAGCCATATGCAGAAAAATTTCAAAGACTCAGGCTTATGTTTATTCATCAACATTCACTTCCTTACTTGATAGCCAGAGAAGCCAAGGGGGAGAGAAATGGGACTCACAGGTTGAAAGGCATCTGACAGCTGTTGTCTTGAAAACCTTGCTGATGCTCACTCTTAAGGGTCTTTTGCTCAGAAAGGAGCCCCTGGCATGAGATCACAGCCTTCACCACTCTGATGCCTTCCTAGGAATAGGGGTTCAAGCTGACAGCTGAGGTTGGTTATCTGAGACCAATGCAGAGCTTATTGGGAATCACAGATTTAAATGAGATGTGAAATTTAGGAAGAAAGATGGATTTCCAGGAAATCCACCTACAGATAGAGAACTGCCAGCCAACACTTATGTTCAACTAAAGAGTGGCTACTTGTGATTGTACACAAATATACAAGATACGTGGAAATGTGCACACTTTTTGCCCACATGTGCACAGTGTCTCTGTTTTACTGTAGCATCAAGTATATATGTAGATGGGAAATGTAGGCAAGATCCACAACATGGAAAAAGAGCAGATCCTTTACTATTGTAAAGAATTGACTTCATACCTTTCCTCCATGACTAAATTTCACATGTGTATCAATACATTTTAAAATTACACTTATTGAGGCACACCGGCTATACTATGAATGTCATGCACCAAAGATACAATCACAATTTATAAGACCTAAATTTTGCAAACAACCTATATGCCTATCAACATAAAGGAGGATAAATTTGAGGCATTCATAGGTAATGGATGCACCCTGAGAACATAATATTAAGTGAAATAAATCTGATACACAAGCTTAAATATTGCAGTTTCTCTTATATGAGCTCAAAATATAAAGAACAAAGTAAAAGATAGATAACAGGAATTAGGATGATCTTGGAGAGATGGGGAGGGATAAGAGGGAAAGGGGATGGGAAAAAAGAATTAAAAGAGAAAACTGGAGATTGAGCTTTTGAAACTGGAAAGGAGACCAAGAGTTAGAAGGAGCAGCAAGGGATGGGCGGAGTAGGGGAAGACAAAAGACTTATAATGTGTTCAGTACATGTTCCAATTTCCGGCATAAATGTAATCATTATGCACTGCAAACATAATGTACTATGTACTAATAAGAAGTACAAATGCAGTGGCTTTCAGCAAATTTTCATAGTTATGCACTCCAATCTTGTTTATGAATTACTCTACCGCCTTGGACAGATGTCTTTTTCCCATGTAACAGTCCATCTCCAAAACTACAACTAGGCACAGGCAGCCGCTAATCCCAGTCCCTTCTGTCTGGAATTGTTCTTTCTGGGCACTTTCTATAAACCCACTCATGCAATAAGTGGTCCTTTTTATGTGGCTTTTGTTACTTAGCAAAGTTTTTCTGAGGTTCAAACACGCTATAGCATGTATGAATATTTCGTCCCACTACAATGTTGAATAATGTTCAGCTATGAAGATACATAATCTTTCCTTTATTCCTTTACCAGTGAGTAGACATTTTAAATTTTCACTTTACCTTCAGGAATTATGTGATTACAAATATCAGAACATCATGCTGTCTTAGTCCATTTTCTATTACTCAAAATACAATGCCTTACAGTAAGATACGCAGAAAACAGTTTATTTAGCCTCACAGTTCTGAACTGTGAGGTACATATGGTGATGATCTTCTTGCTTACAGAGTCTTCATGTAGATCAAGGAGCAGAGTTAGATAAGCCCTGCCTGACCTGGTTTTCACAGGAGACCAACTTTCCTTGTTAAACCACTGACATGTTAATCCAGTCATGTATTAATGGAATGAATGGGCTATCCATTAACGAAAGCAGAGCACTAATTACCTCCTGAAGATCCCTTCTGCTCCTACATATTATCTCAAAATGAGGATTGAATTTCCACATGAATATTAAGAGAGGAAAACGCTTAGTTTGTCTGAGTGGACATGTATTTTCCTATCTAAATTCTACATATTTCCAGGTATTGTTGTGCACACTGGGATCACACATCCTGCCTTGTTCTTGCTCTTACAGGAAAAACATTCCTTTTTACTATGTGATGACAGTATGTCAGCTGTAGGCTTGTTGTTATACACGCTCATTATAGGTTGAGCACACTCCCTTGATAGCCCCAGTTTGCTGAGACTTTTTATCATGAACATATGTTGGATTTGGTCAAATTCATTCATACTCCCCCATGCTCTTTGACCTTCTACCATATGAGGAAACAGAAGACTCAGCAGGTACCACACAGCAGCACCTTCTTCATAGCCTTCCTTGCCTCAAGGAATACAGAAGTAAAATTAATTTTACTTACAAATTACCTATTGTGTACAATTTTGACATAAATAGCAGAAAGAGACAGAAAAGACAGTGTCCAATTTTTCTCCCTTTAAAAGCTCAAAATTTAAAAAAAAGCTCAATATCAGAGGGTAAAGGCAAGCACTGCGATTCCTCATTTCCCTAACACAGCAGTAAGCATATCAGAGAATGAGGGGAGACCAAATGAAAAAAATTAAAGCCTTGGTGACTGGGTCAATCCTTGACTGCCATTGGCACAATGAAACTTCAGTGGGTAATACATGTGGAGAATCAAATAAAGAGTCGGAGGGTTGTGTTTCTAAGCCAGTACTTTAAAACCTCTGTGAACTTCCTGCAATGTGGAATAATTAAACCTGCCCCACTGCATAGTGTAGAGGATTAAACATTGCACCTCAACAAGACTTGGTCCTTTCCGGTGTGAAATGTCCCGAGATCACTGGGTCTCTAAACAGTAAGGGATGCCAGCTAGAATACAGCCTGCCAAAGCTAATATGGTAGTTCAGAGTTTTGCTGTCTGCTTGACCTTGGCATGTTGCCTAACGTGGACGTGGAACTGTTGCTAAATGATGGGTCAACGAGACGGGATGAAATGAGTGAACCATCAGGAAAACAAAGAGACTCTGACACTGAGTAAACATCCGCAAAAGTGTACTGCTATGCTATCCATCTACACACTTCCAAATCATTGTCCCGATTTTAGGCCTACGCATATCAAGAAAGAAAAGCAGCCCTAGGAGAACCTAGGAGACAATCCTGGCAGTCATCTTAACTCTCAAGCTCTTAAACTGTCTAATGAGATCCCAAGTTCCAATCTAAGAAACTTACCTGCTCTCAAGATACTTCTACCAGCAGGAGACACAGATTTGTACAGCAATGGAGTCCTAGGGCCTCCCTAAAAAGAGACTGACACAATGCAGATTGTTTTTGGCTCAGAAGAAATCTCAGGTCCCTGGCTGGGTGAGTGCACATCACAGGATTCTGTAGGGGAACTAATGAGATCCCAAGTTCCAATCTAAGAAACTTACCTGCTCTCAAGATACTTCTACCAGCAGGAGACACAGATTTGTACAGCAATGGAGTCCTAGGGCCTCCCTAAAAAGAGACTGACACAATGCAGATTGTTTTTGGCTCAGAAGAAATCTCAGGTCCCTGGCTGGGTGAGTGCACATCACAGGATTCTGTAGGGGAAAAGAAGGGGAAATTTACTCCTTCTGGGGCAGGGGCCTCTGCTTCCACCCTATGTACCAGAGGACTCTCTTCCAACCTCACTGCCTGGCTGGTATGAATGCTGGTCCCACTGAGGCACCTCAAAGAGTAGCTGGACTGTGTTCTGGGCCTGCCCCCTGCCCCTCTTCTGAATCTCCATGGTGCAGAGCTCCTCTTGATATACTCTGGTCTGCTGGTTGGGGATTTCAAGGGAGTGATCTGAGATCCAAAAAGAAACAAAACACTACTGATAACAAACCTGCATTCTAATGTTACTTTCCTTTCACACACATATTTATTTGGTGTTAGTGTTGAGGAACCCAGGCGAAAGTCTTGCATGGGGGATTACTACTTGATTGCTAAGCGGCAGGGAAACACATACAGTCAGCTTATCATAGTCATAATAGTTTATACTGACAGTACAATGGTGAACCATCAAGTTCCAGTTCCACATCCCTTTCCCACACTTTGTTTGGCAGCAGATGTTTGTACCTAGATCTGTGTCAAGCAACCCCATTTCAAGCAGACCTAGCTCTGCTCCTGGGGGGCTGTCACTAAAATGGTACAACAGCACATGGACATCAACAAGGCATTCACACTACACAGACATCTTATAAAGATATCTCCCTGAAAACAAGTTAAGGAGCAAAGACGGAAATGTAGGCTGGAAAACTGACACACGCGGCATGGGAACCAGATGAGAGGAGGTGGGGAACACTGGTATGCAGTCTCCTCTGCCCCTGAATGCCTCTCAGTGCTCCACAAATGACACGCAGGAAAGATGCACACTTTCTTGGTCATAATACAGGTCTCGGGTCTCCTCTTCCGATAGCAACTGTTTGGTCCCGAAAAGAAGCCCACCTCCCCAGAGCTGGCAACACAGTACTGTCTGAATCCCTAAGGGTCTTTGTCCCATGAGGGTGAGCTTCTCAATTCTCCTCCAACCACTGCTTAAACAGCCGCTGGAACATGTTCTTGCTTTCCTGCTGCCTCTCCAGTTGGCGCTTTTCCTCTGGTCTCCTCTTCCGATAGCAACTGTTTGGTCCCGAAAAGAAGCCCACCTCCCCAGAGCTGGCAACACAGTACTGTCTGAATCCCTAAGGGTCTTTGTCCCATGAGGGTGAGCTTCTCAATTCTCCTCCAACCACTGCTTAAACAGCCGCTGGAACATGTTCTTGCTTTCCTGCTGCCTCTCCAGTTGGCGCTTTTCCTCTGAGACAGCTGCGGCTGCGGCTGCGGCTGCGGCTGCTGCTGCTGCTGCTGCTGCACACCACCTGGCAAAATGCCAGGCCGGTTGGTGCCCAGGCTGAGGGTCAAGCCACTGAGACCCTGCACAAGGGTTTCCCAGGAGGAAGGACTAGGGGTCCCATTCCTTTCCCTAGCGACCCCAGAAATATTTGGCATGTGGCCCTGGCAGTATCGACATTGGCATCTGAATCGATTCTGAGCTCTATCACCTGGGAAAGAGATGCTGGTTTCCCTTTCGACTGGGTAAGGTGCCATGTGATCACGGTGCCTGCGTCTGAAGTGCCCCAGGAGTGCCTTCTTCTTCTGAGGGAATCCCAGCCTTTCCCAGTGCTGCTCCAGCAGAGTCTTCTCTTCCCTGTACTGTTGCTGGAACAGTCCCTCTTGTACAGGCACAGCGGGGTTGGAGCCAGGACTGAGGCTCAGGTCACCGAGGCCCATCATTAGCTGCTCTGAGGAGGAAGGCTGAGAGGCTGCTGTGCCTTCTTGGGAGGTCTCTGCGGTGGGCATCTGGGAAGATCCAGAAATCAACCCTGGATTCCATTTCTGGCGTGGATCCATGGAGGTCTTGTCTACCAGGTGCTAGATTCTAGATGAGAAGGCGAAGCTAGAGGTTTTCAAATGACTAGACACGGGGTAGAAGTACACAGCCAGAAGACGCCAGACTGCAATGAAGGGTGAAAAGAAAGAAAACTCATGACTATTCGTCTCATTTAATCTTTCTGTACCTCCACTTCCTAGGTGTAAAATGGGGCTGATTGCATGATTTACCTTCTGGGCTACTTCCAAGGATTACAAGAGATAATACATGTCCAGAGCTCAGAGAGCTGATGGTACATCTCAAAGGTTGTAGAGACAAGCCCAATCATTGCAATCGCGAGGGACATGCGACGGTGAAATGTCATGAACAATATGAATTCCTTGTTCTTTTTTCCCATGGTAGGTAGCAAATGTTGGAGGCCCAACCACTGAGTTACATCCCGGCTCTTTTAATTTAGTTTAACATTGTGAGACAGCGTCCTACTAAATTGCCCAGCCTAGGCCCAAATTCTTGATCCTCCTGCCTGAGCCTCCCAAGTGCTGGGATTACAGCCATATGCCACCACACCCTGTACTTGCTGAGTGAGTTTAAGTCACTCTCAAGACGCATTATAACGATGAACAGTGTTGTGAGTAACACATGACTTTCCGATAAGCATTTCCATGCTTTCATGAAGTAGACGTTTATTAAATTGGAGTATTTATACCATAGCTACACTGGAATTTTTGCATTTGAGATCCTTGGCTTTAGTCAAAAGTCTGCTCTTGTATATGAAAATCATCTCAAAATTCTCAAATGTGTGTAAATAAGAATTTCTCCTATTAAAAGATAGGAGACAAAATAAAGAGATAGCAAATAAAAACAAAGAGAAACTGTATGGAGCCAAACATTGCTTTGAAATGATGAATTTAACTGATAAACTTGTACAAGCAAAAAGGGAGGAAACAAGTTATCAACAGCAGGAATCAAGGAAGAACTTTTATTAGAAAAACAGAAAAAAGACAACATGGTCATACCGCAATAAGGTCCATATTAAATTATATAGTTTACACAAAATGGACCAATTACTGGGAAATCATAAGCTACCAAAACTGACCAGAAATGAAATTGTGTGCACAGCCCTAAATCTTTTTTATAGAAATTAAATTTGCAGCGAAAAATGTTTGCAAAATGATCTCTAGGACCAGAGTTTGACTGGCAAATTCTATCAAACGTGAAATGAAGACATTACAGCAATTTTAAACAATTTCTTCCAGAAAACGAAGGAACACTCCCAAATATTTCATGAGGGAAAGTACAGACTAATATTTTGACTTAGCAAATTAGTACAAAGTTCTGTCTTAGCACAAAAATCTTCAACAGAAAATGAGCAATATATGAAAAGAATCATAAACCACGATCGAGTGGATTTTATACCAGGAATGCAAAGGTTCTACTTTCACTAATTAAAAATCAGTGAATGGAACCCACAGATTGTGAGTTTAGATGATGAAGAAAAAGGACAGGAACATAGTAATTTGAAAAGATGGAAAATCCACTAATGACATTAAAATTTCTAACACACTAGGAATAAAAAGATCACTTCTTGAACCTGTTAAAGGGCACGTAGAAAAAAACCGTACAACTAATATCCTACATGATGGTCAATGATTGAATGCTCTCTTTTCTTTTTTTTGGTACTGGGCATCGAACTCGGGTCCTTCAGCTTGCCAGGCAGGCCACCGAACCAAGGAGCTAAATCCCCGGCCCAAGATGGCCACTTATAACACACCTATTCTGCTTCATTGTGGAAGTCCTAGATTGCAGAACAGTCCGTAGTATACAAATGAGAAAGGAGGGATAATATGTTGTCTCTTCTCATAGATCTCATGACTATGTACTCGGAATACCCAGTGTATGAGGTATGATAAAAGATACGGTGGATTTTTAAACTTAAAATAAATTATTATAGTAGATATACATCGCCATCAAATCTCCTCAAAATAATCCCCCTTACTTCTAACAACACTTACCCAATCATTCTTGCCACTTTCTGAAGGAGTGTGGGAAGTCCTACTGTCACGGCTGCCTTGATGTCCTGAATCAATTCAAAATGTTTACCTTTGATGGCCATTTCGACTTTGGGAAAGAGCCAGAAGTCACATGGTACCAGATCCAGTGAATAAGGTGAATGAGGACATACTGTAATGTTTTGCTACAAGGCTGCCTTTCCACTGGATAGAACACAACAGCAGTATTCAGTATACATAGTTTTAACACAGTTCGCAAAGACTGAGAGAGGATTTCCAGAACTGTTTCAGACAATGACAAAAAGAAAAGGATAAGTGTAGTAGAATGGGGGGGGGAGTACTTTGAGGGAGGTTAATGGCAATGCGCATTTTATTGAAATATTTTTTAAAAAGTTAAACATTCATTATATATGCCGATCACAGCTCTATCTCCTTCAAATCTCTTAGAAATAATGGCTGAATTTAGTATTGATACGGAACACAAGGCAAACACATGTAAAACACCCATATAAATCTCAACTGAAAAACAATACTATTTATAATGGATTCAAATTCGTGCGATAATTAAATATAAAACAAAACATATACAGGATCTATATGCTGAAGACTATAAAATGCTCAACAAAGAAATCAACGAAGGGATAATAAAAACACTGTGCTCATGGATCAGAAAACTCAATATGGAAATAAGTCAATTATCCCTGAGTTGATCTGTACAATTAATGAGTTATCAACCCAAATAGTCAGCAATTCATATGCAACTTCCAAACTTCTGAAACAAGAATGAATTGAAGAATTCACTTCATCCAGTTTTAAGACTTGTCTTAAAGTTGCAGAAATGAAGAGTGCTGCTGGAATTAATACTGTCAAAATGGCCACGCTAACAAAACGATTACACAAGTTCAATGCAGTCCGAATCAAAATATCAACAGAATAATTCTCAGAACTAGAAAAAACAATCCTAAAATTCATATCGACCAGAACAGACCCAGAATAGCAGAAGCAATCTTGGACAACAAGAGCCAAGCAGGAGGCAACACATTACCTCACCTCAAGCTTACACAACCACAGTACAAACTATGCAACCATAATATAAACATCATGGTACTGAAACAAAAACAGACATGTAGATCAATGGAACAGAACAGACAATACAGAAACATCCCCAGACACATTGAGCTATTTGATCTATGACAAAGGGGCCAAAAGCATGCATCGGAGGAAAGATACCTATACAACAAAACCTACTCAACTAGACATGTTTGCAGAAGACTCA